AGCGAACACAAACAGAGATGTATTCTGTTCATTTATTTTTCACGAACAAACTCGTTTATAAGCTTTTTAATTTTTTTGTATTTTAAATATTGGTGAAAGTACATAGTAAATTGAATATATGATGAAATTTGGAGTTTAAACTATGAATCCTAAGAAGTTTAAGCACTAGTTGTGTAGTTTTACCATTTTCCCTATTATAACACAAAAAAACCTTTTCCGTCTCTATCTTTTCCCTTTTATTCTAAATGAACATATTCACATACGATAAACGAACGCTAAATGAACATGTTCACGAACGTTAAATGAATGCTAAATGAACACATTCATGAACGCTAAACGAACATGTTCACGAACGTTAAATAAACAAACATGAAACCATTCAAAAATATATAAACGAACATGAACACAATACTAAAACATTAAACTAACACAAACCGAATATGAACACAAACCGAATATAAATACCTTAAAAACAAACAAACAAACACTAACATAACCTTATTTACATTTACGCCCCTGGTCAAAGTTCTCAATAAATGTCATTTAATAAAACATATCAATTTGGTATTGTACCAATCTTTCTTCACTGTTAATTAATTTTATGGGAGATGTATCCACTCCTATATAATTGTAAACTTAGACCACGCTAAGTGTGAAGCTATCTTAAAGATCCAACCGAGTGGAAATTAAAGCAGAGAGAAAAAAATGGAGGTGGAGAGAGTGCAAGACATTGCTAATTTGTCGAAAGAAACAATCCCGGAAGAGTTCATTAGGTCGATCAACGAGCAGCCGGCGCTGACGAGAGTTATCGGGACGGTGCTCAAGGTTCCGATCATCGATCTAAGAGACCCAAATGAAGAAAACTTGGTAAAGGCCATAGTGGAACCCAGCAGCAATTGGGGAATGTTCCAAGTCGTGAACCATGGCATACCTGATGAAACCATACGGAGGCTGAAAGAGGTTGGCCAGGCTTTCTTTGAGATCCCACAAGAAGAAAAAGAAGCTTACACCAAGCCACCGGGTTCTCAAACCATTGAAGGCTATGGAACAAAGCTTAAAAAAGAAGTAGAAGGCAAAAGATATTGGGTTGATCATCTTTTCAATAAGATCTGGCCTCCTTCAGAAATTAACTACCAGCTATGTTGTACTGATACGGATATTGGGCTGGATACGGGGACAAGGACAAAGACGGTGACGATAAATGACAATTTCTAAAATTATAGGGTACAGGAAAGACAATGATACGTCATATAAAAAAATTTAAAATTATAAATAGATGTAAGAAATCATAAATAAAATCGATAATTCATAGAAAATTGGTGTAACACTTTAATTAAAATCCTAACATTTTATGATTAAAACAAAAGTCTAACATTTGAGAATTTTTTCCAAATCCCTAAATTAATTTTAGTGTCCAATTTTAAAATAATGTAAATTTTGTTTCCATATTAGAAATACTTAGAAAGATCAGGGATCAATTGATAATTATACCAAAAACTCTTTAAATCCTTCTAACTCTTCTTTCTCCCCCGCAGCCGCTTCTTCTTCCTTTTTATTTCTTTTCTTTCTTTTCACAAACCTTGAAAGAACCGATTGGAGGCAATTCCGGTGAAGGGATTGTGGAAGTTTTTCCGATAGGCAGGGGGGAGATGCTTTAATGGAGAGCTTGTGAGAGCCTTGGTATGTTTTGAGAGAGCCATTGTTGAAAGCAAAGTAGAAGAAACCAGGGCGAGAATGGTGCCACTGCAAATGGTGTAAGCAAAAACGACACTGCTTTAAACCAAAATTACCCCTGGGGACGTCCCCCGAAACCTTCCCAGATAAGCATTGACCCTCCCCAAAATCGGTCAGCCGTACTCTGCCACCGTGGCACGTCCTCGGTATGTACCCCAGCCGTCCCCGTACCGTCCACTTGCCGGAAATGTATCGGGTACTTGCAATGGGACTCCTTTGCCGTCCCCGTGCTTCATAGACTACCATTTTTGGCCTAAAAACCCACCTTCCTACAGGTTCGAACTCCATACTTTCCATCACATGAATGCATGGACCGACGTATGTAAGTAATTTTTCAATTTTTTTTTAATAATGGCAGAGAGAAACGAGGAATACGCCAAGCACATGCATGGGGTGGCGGAAAAGTTGTTCAGATGCCTGTCGTTAGGCTTAGGGTTGGAAGGGGATGAGATGAAGGCAGTTCTGGGTGGGGACGACATGGTTTACCTTCTGAATATCAACTACTATCTTCCGTGCCCTCAACCGGACCTCGCTCTCGGAGTGCCGGCTCACACGGACATGAGTACATTCACCGTACTAGTGCCCAATGATGTGCAGGGCCTCGAAGCTTGTAGAGATGACCATTGGTATGATGTTGAGTACATCCCTAATGCACTCATTGTTCACATTGGAGACCAAATCGAGGTTTGTTTTGCTACATTCTTCAATTTCCTTAATCCTTTCTGTTGGGGGAAATCATTAAAATTGTCCCATATTTTTTTATGCAGATTGTGAGCAATGGAAAGTGCAAGAGTGTGCTTCACAGGACCACGGTGAACAAGGAGAGGACAAGAATTCATGGCCGGTGTTTCTGGAGCCACCGTCGAACTTAAAAGTAGGGACTCACCCTAAGCTCATCAATGAAGCAAATCTACCCAAATTCGAATCCAAATGTACTCTGACTATTGTGCCTTCAAGCTCAACAAGACCCCTTAATAAGTTTACTTTTTAAATCATAAATAAAGCTGCACCTTGAAGCAACCTTCCATGAAGGAGAATAAGAATTGAGAGATGTGCGTGAAATAAAGTGATTTTCAATGTTGATTAGATTCTATGGAGTGGTTTTGTTTCTAATATCCTGTTGTTGAACACTGTTGTATCTTTATTTGGGTGTTATTCCTTTTTTCTACATTGGAGGAGTTGATATGGCTAAGAGGGATATGAGTTTTATTTCTCTATGTTAAATAAAATGATTCATCTTTTCTGGTGTAAGTTGATAATCACTACTTCTCGATCCAAATTTACATTAAAAATATTCTTTTTACTCTTGAAGAATTATATTAAACATTTAAAAATATTATATTATATATACATTATTCTTAAAAAATTGGATTCGAATTACCACAAACTCATTATGTTTATTAATTTACCTTTTAAGCTGAACTTATTGGATTATCTATATGGTTGATCACTAAATCATTAGGAGATGGGTCAATATGTACTGAGGCCTATATATGGATGAGTATTGGATCAAATTGAATTGATTTAAAAAGTTTTGAATTATTTAAATTGACAAGTCTTATTTTAGGATTCAAATTTTATTCGGAATCTCTTCAAATCAAGTTGAATTCTTGAGTTTGTATTCACTAAGAAAAATCAGGAGGTGGAGCTGAATTGAGTTAGAAAATTTAAATTGAATATATAAAGTTTAAATTTAATTAATTTAATTCGTTTAAATCAAATTAAATTTATAAAATGTAAATATAATCAAATCAATTTTTTAAATGTAAGAAAATTATTTTCCTTTTTTCTTTTGTTAAGTAAAGCTTTATTCATCCAAAACAGAAAACAAAATTACTTACAGACCAAACAATCTCGGCAGTCTATACCAAGCCCCACCTCTCAAGCAAAGTTATAGAAGTAGGAAAATAATCCCCACACCCCAGCAATCTATTCCTAACAGTACATTTAATCAAATAAAAAATTCCTTGAACATTCATAGTAGGGCTGTAAATGAGACGAGACAGATCGCGAGCTACTCGAGATTGACTCGATCTTGGCTCGATAAATACTCGGATCGAATGGACTCGACTCGAGCTCAAACTCGACTCGAGTTCTTAACGAGCCGAAACGAACTACTCGATACTCGACTCGAAAGCTCGTGAGCAGCTAGAAAAAATGTTATATTATAATTTTAGATTTTTTAAAATTACATTATTAAAAATATATTAAAAATACATTATTGATGAATAAATATTCTTGAATTGAAAATGGTTAAAAATTATTTTTGAATAAATTTTCTTATATTTATTTTAAATTAATAAAAAAATTATTTATCTAATGACAAATATTTAATATATTCTAATGATAATATTTGTAATAACTCAAATTTTAATTGTTGTTATATTTTGAAGTTTCGAGTTAAATATCATAATATCAAGGGTTTGAGCATTTAATATCAAAATATTATATTGCACTTACCTCATAACTAATTTTTTATTTGATAATAAATATAATATAAAAAATGATTCAATTTAAATATTAATAATTTAAAAAAAATATCAAAACAAGTATACTCTCTCTCCTTTCACTAAGTCATCTCATTCCTTCTAATTATGTGTTAATGTTAAGGGTTTAGGGTTTATCTGATAAGATTTAAGGTTTAGATATTAAGGTTTAGGGTTTATGAGTTAGAGTTTAAAGTTTAAAGTTTAAGGTTTAGAGTTTATGTGATATGATTTAAGGTTTATAGTTTAGGGTTTAAGGTTTAAGTTATGCACATGAAGGTAACATACAAATTATGCAAAATGATGTTATGTGACTCTTAAATAAATCATTCGCATACTTATACATAAACATATCAACATGCAAAATAAATATACACAACTAATTAAAGAAAATAATCCTAAACAGGGATTAAAATAAATATACAAAATTGGAATTAAACCAATGACTTAAATACAAAATGTGCATAAACTATAGGGTCTTACATGCAATTGATCCTATTCGGTTTAAGCTAAAATAATAAGGAAAATAACATAAATGACACCTGAACATTTAAAACAAATAAGAAAATTTAAACAAATGTGATTGAAATACAAAAATTAAAATATAACATACCAAACTATAAATTTATTAAACAAGCATATACATATTAAACTAATGACTAAATTTAAATAAACGTAAAATTCAACATATAAAATAATAATTAAATTAGGGATTTACAAAACAATAAATTGGGGGACTATAACTTAATTTACCAAAAAATTAATATGAAGCTGCAGATAATTAGGTCCAAGGCGGTGCCTCTGAGTGTCGGAGTAGGAGAAGATTCTAGTTTGGAGCAACTTATCATCCGAGTAATAAATCTCAGGGACAATGATAGAAGGACAGAAGGCTAACTGCTCGTTCTCAGCAAAGAAGTTATCAATGTTTTTGTTCAAAAGCATTCACCCCACCGGCTGCAAAGGGAAGATATCCTCTGGCCAGGTCTTGGTCACATCAAGTGGGTCGAAATCGAACCTATCCTCATCAGCAGGATCCATTATCTGAATGAACAACTTCCACTCTGGATAGCTCCATCCTGCAATGGAGTTAAAGAGATCTTGTGTGGCATGACTGTGATTAGCTCCTCCAACTCTCACGGCCTCATCCTCCAACAGGTTTTTGACACCACAAGTTGGTTTCCAGTGGAATTTCACATAGTGTGCCTTCCCAGGCTTGTTGATGAGTCTATAGGTATGAACACCAGAGCCATCCATGTGCCTGTAATCCTGGGGAATGCCTATGTCGTCGAATAGGAAGGTGAACATGTGCAAGCTTTCAGGATGGTGTGAGAAGAAGTCCAGGATCCTTGAGTTGGTCATGTGAGTTATATCTCACGTCGGTGGTTCTTGGGGAATAATGGGTAAAGTGAAGTGTATAAAAGGGGAGATGAGTTTCAACAAATTAAAATAAAACCCTTCGAGCTTGAATTGAGCTAAAAAACGAGCTTGAATCGAGCTCTTGAATTTTTTTGAGTTCGAGTCGAGTTTTGATATTATATTTCGAGTTCGAGTCGAGCTTGAAAAATTTAAGCTCGCGAGTTTTCGAGTCAAGTTTACATTTAAAGTTTTTGAGTTCGAGTCGAGCTCGACAATACTCGAGCTCGACTCGGCTCGTTTACACCCCTAATCCCTACTACTAACATGTACCATATAAAGTAAAACAAGACAAATATATATGCATTACTAGATTATACTCTGAAAAAAAGAAAGTAATAATTGCAGAGTTGGAAAATCAAAACAGTAAATAAAGAGAAGACTGAGAAGAGAAGAGGAGCAGAAATCAAAAAGACTGAAGTTTCTTATTAGATTTTTATTTTTCAGAAAGCAAAAGAAAAACAAGTCTACTATCTCTCCTTTCACTAAGTCATCTCATTCATTCTAATTATGTGATAGAGTTTATGGTATAGGATTTAAAATTTAGGGTTTAAGGTTTAATATTTAAGATTTAGGGTTTATATTTTAGTATTTAGAATTTAGGGTTTAAGTTTAAAGTTAACAAATTTAATTAAGAACTAAATTTAAATAAAGTGAAAATTAAACACATAAATCAAGAATTAAAATAGGATTTAAAATAAAGAGTACGCATTAATATAAGGGACTTAAACTTAAAAAACTCAAAAATAACAACTAAAACTAAAATTGGGAAAATAATAAAATCGGGACAAATATAAATGGATAAATTATAAAAACATCCTTACAAGTGACTAAAGTATAAATTTTTGGCTAAGTCTAGGGGTATGAGAGTTATTTACCCTACATTTAATATATAAAAACCTAATTATAAGCTAAACCTAATATGAACTAAAACTATCATCTTCAGCCGTTTTGCTCTCTTCCCTCTATTCTATTCTTCTTCTTCTCACAACCGAGAGCCTCAAAGGCTAACCACATCGCCACTCGCACCATCGGCCACCATGACCGACGCATGACCGACGCTTGACCACCGCCTCAATGGCCTCTACACCGTTTCTATCCTCTCTAATCCGGTGAAGATCCAAACACAACAAAGGTAAATAGATCTCTCTCTCGTTTTATTTGTTTTTATTTTAGAATCTGAACCGATGAACTAACCCTAACTCCTATGCAAGGTTTCCCGAGCAACCTTCAATGCTTCGGCCTCAAACCTGGTGGCTCAAATCGGTAACCTCCTAATCCCTATTTATTTATGTTTTTATACTTGAAATCTCGATGGATGAAGACTAAACCAAAAAATCGATGTGCAAGAATTCCAAAAAAAACTCACACCATAGCTTTCTATTGATACCCCTTGAAGGGGAAATGGCACTTCTAGGGTTCGATAATCTCTCGGTTACAAGTTAGAAGTCTGTTCTGTCGACTTGAGTCGGTCGCTACGTCTTTTTTTCTTGTATTCATCCTTTTAATTTATCAAAGCTACCATTCATCCGGTGAAAACATGATCGTTTATCTATGTTATGGAATATGAATATTGTTTGCAGAAGCAATGACCCTGATCTCAAGCGATGACACTGGTCTGTGTCCTGTTTCATGTTATTTTTCCGTATCATGTATTATGTTATCGAAGGATTGCGAGTTCTATTATCTTTACCAATATTTCATGAGAATTCATTAAAAAATAATAATAAATATTTATAATATTTTTCAAGCCCCGCCAAAAACAGATGTCTACAAGTAATACGTTCTTTTGCACTTTGATGAATCCTTGAAAAGAAGACTGTGATGTATTTTCTGGGTTTTATGACTTGATTCATAAGTATAACTTAGTATACGGTAATACGAATGCTAGCCAAATTCAGTTTTCATATGTTTCTTTCTTATATATAATTTCTACCAGCAGGATCCAGCTGTGAGAGGGAAGGCATCTGGCCAGTCTAAAATTGGAGGCCTATTTTCGAAGGTAAAGGAAACCCATGTTTACATAGTTTCTACTTTCTAGGGAATATGTCAAGGATTTGCAGTCTATGTTGTTGAAGGTAAATTCTATAGTAGGATTGTGGTGATCAACCTAGAAACATAATTTCTACTGCAATATTTGCATTTATATTTCCATGATATAGAATTGCATGTCTGTTATAAAAGTTAAGTGTTTGAATAATTGTTTTGTCATTTTCGACTTCGAGTTTCAGTTTGTTCTAATGATATTTGGTTGTCTTGCAGTCCACATTCTATTCACAGAGCACATGCTGGAGAAAGTGAGAATTTTGCGGGAAGCTTTTTCAGAGACATCTTTGCATGCTAGTTCAGGAAAACCATCAGTTATTTTCATTGATGAAATAGATGCTCTCTTCCCTCGTCATGGTTCAAGGCTGGAATGAATGATTTTTCCTTCTTTTGGTAATTGTATTTGGATGTGGTTGAACAACAAGTTGAGAATTCATGGGATTCAAGATGTAACAAATGTATGATAGTTGATCGCTTATATTTGGATATTGTGTGAAGCAGAATAGTTCTAATGCCATTTCCTTTATCTACATCTTCCTATACATTTCTTCCTATGGCTCTCATGGCGAGGAAAAAAAAGAAATCATATTTTGATAATGATTGCAAAGATCGATACATGATAGTGTCCGTCGGAATATATATTTATATATGCATTGCAGTTTGCATGTAACCAACTGATGCTTTTCTGAAGTATCATGGAACTAACTATGTTTCTATTTCAGACGGGAGCAAGATGTTCGTCTAACTTCTCAGCTCCTTACACTGATGGACTCCAATAAACCCTCACCAAGTTCTTTACTTCAAGTTGTTGTGGTTGCATCAACTAATAGGTTGGTTTCTCTAACTCAAGATACAAGACTCCGTTCTACGTGTATTTGTTATGGTCAGCCTTGTTTATATGGAACTTAGTGTTGAGCTTTGGGAGATTTTTATATAATGATTCACATTACTTGTCTTCCCATGTTTATGTTAGAGCCTCATAGTAATGCATTATGCTTACTAGTCTCCAGTTTCCACTACTTTAAATAAACATTTCTCCGAGTGGCTTATTAAGGATTTTCATCATTCATTTGTTGTGGGATTTGATGCTATATTTATAAATTTAAATGCATTGGGCTTTATAAATTTTGTATCTAGTTATCTTCTTATTTTAATTCATGATTTTGCTAAAAGAACCAGGCTATAATGCCTTAACTGATGTTCTGGCGGTTAAGTCATAGGTATTTTTCTCCATCAAGAGTGGATGCAATCAACCCAGCTCTAAGAAGGTCAGGGCGTTTTGATGATGAACTTGAAGTTACCACACCTAATGAAGAAGAAAGGTTTCAAATTCTCAAGGTAAGACTGGTTATCTTGCATTTATTATGTTCCTTGTATGTGTTGCTTTGCTTACTTTAATCAATCAGACGCTTTAAATGTATGGAAAGTTGTAAGCACCAGTTGTAACCGTACTAGTTGCTTGATTGGCATCCCGTTTTAGGGTGCTTCAGGTCTAAAAGCCTTGTTGTCATTTTTTTCCAGCTTTATACGGAAGGTTCCTTTGGATCCCAGTGTTGACTTACAACTTACAAGCTGTAGCTGTTGAGTGGCCTATCAATGGGGAGACAATCTCGGAGAAGGTGTGTCTACTGCTGCTGACTTCATTTGGTCTGATTCTCCTCTTGAAATCCTTGGTTCGGTTACTACCATAACCTTTGAGGATCCAGCTTCATTGCCTATTAAGGATCACAGTTCTACCTCAGAAGAGGTGACTATCTTTTCAATATTTCTAGTCTTTCCTGCCTTGAAACTTGTCGTTACTTACTTTGCTAGTGTCTTGATAGGTCAAAGCTCTTTGTGATGATTTGTGTGTTCTACAAAAGCAGGATTTCAAGTATCTTTTGAAGTAAGAAACATAATTGTTTTCAGTTTTTCCCTTTTGAGATTTTTAAGTCTAAACAATTTGTGATAATAAGAAAATATGTGAGTAAAGCTATAATCAGAGCACTAGGTACATACTAATGTGAGTGGGAACTTAATTTGACATGTTTCAATCTTTTGTAAGTAAACTTGACATGTTGCAATCTTTTGTAAGTAAACTTGACATGTTGCTGCCATCTTTTGTAAGTAAGCTTAACTGGTTGATATCATTTTTTGTATTATTTTTTTAAGTAAACATGCAACTATCATGATATTGTTATCTTTTGTAAGGAAAATAGTGTCATCTTGTATAAATTTGGATATATTGTCATATTTGTCATCTTTTTATAAATTTAGATGTGTTGTCATATTTTGTAAACTTTCAATACATTTGAAGTTTTAAAAACTTCAAAGCTTATATTAATTATCCTAAATTTCTTGTAATTGTATTTTTATTTTTTAGATTATTTATAGTTCATACATTCATATTATAATGTATTGGTGATGGTTGATTAAAGAGAAAATTATTTATATATTTTAAATGTAATATAAGATTATTGTAGGTTCAAATTCGAGTTAGAGTTCGAGCTCAAAAATCGAGCTTGAATCGAGCTCGAGTCTCGAGCTTCAATCGAGCTCTTGAATTTTTTTTGAGTTCGAGCTATTTCGAGTTCGAGTCGAGTATCAATAATATATTTCGAGTTCGAGCTAAGTTTCATAATTTTTAGCTCGCGAGTTTTCGAGTCGAGTCGAGCCTACGTTTAAAGTTTTTGAGTTCTAGTTCAGCAATACTCGAGGTCGACTCGGCTCGGCTCGTTTACACCCCTAATTCTTAGGATTCCTCCCATGCAATCTACCATTCCGAATGGGAACCAGAGGTATAACATATCTACCCTCCGATTTACGGATGAATCCATATTTTCAATCATTTCTAAAAACATGCAAACTGTAAAAGAGTATTTCAATAGATTAAAAAGGTACTCACTAGGTATGGATAAATGGTGTACTGACACCGTAACTTATAGGTGGTAAACAAGTCATTCGGACTGGGTTTGAGTCGGGTCATTTATGGTTAGGTTATTTCGGATCTAGATTATATTCGGTTTAATTTTGTTCGGGTTGGATCGGACTTGATTCGGATCTAATTCGAGTGCAGGTTAATCAGATTGGGTTGGGTATCGGGTCATGTTAATTTTCGGGTCGGATGATTATCGGGCCGATTGTTTTTCGGTTCGGATCAAAATCATATCAGTTGATTTTTGGGTTAGGTCAATATCAGATTGGTTACATTTCGGGTCGGGTTAATATCGGGTCGATTCAATATCGGATCGATTGATTTTTGGTTTAGGTCAACCTTTAGATCAGGTCAATTCGAGTTGAATTGGTTCTGAGTCTAATCAAGTATATGTAGAATTATTGATATATTCTTGTAAAAAATGTCTTATTGTTTGTTAATCTTATCATTTAGGCCTAATTTCAAATTCTTAATCGTTCAATATTTTAAATTAAACTATCATTTAGAGATGATAATCGATAATTTGACACAAATACGATCCTATAATGCGTGTTAGAATTTGTTATTAAAATTTTATATTAATCTTGTATGAAAAGTTTATAATAAGAACTATTCTAACTATAAATTTAAAATTTTTATTAAATTTTTAAAAATAATACATAACTTTATTTGTTAAGTTTTAGTCGTAACATAAGTAAATTTTATATTATTTTTATTATAAATCTAATATTATTTCCTTTGTTTTAGTTGTTTTTTATTATTTTTTATTATAAATCTAATATTTTTATTACAAGTAAGATAAGTAAACTTTATTTATTATTGTTTTAAATCTTACAATTAGATTCTTACTTTTATATTCCTCTTATGTAATAACATAGGTAAACTTTTTATTATTTTTATTATAAATCTAATATTTTTAATAAATTATCAATTTTATTTAAATTAATTTATTATTCTGTTCGTATTAATTTTTGTTCGGGTTGCTTTCAGGTCGAGTTAAATTCGGTTCGGATTGTTTTCAGATCGGTTAAAATTCGATTCAGGTTTTTTTCGATTTGAGTTAATTTCGGTTCGGTTTAAGTTAATTTCGATTTGGGTTACTTTTGATTTTGCTAAATTTCGGGTCGAGTATAGATCGGGTATCAGATCAATTTTGATTATCAGATTCGAGTTAATTTTAAGTATTGGGTCAAGTAAATCAATTCGGATAATCGGATTTGAGTCAAATTTGTCAGTTATACCATAACTTACCTCAACCCTGCTCCATAAAACCTCTTATGATTCAGTAAATTATTATTTTAAATACTGTGATTATTATATAAAATCTATTTATAAATTAAATTCGTAAATAATATTTGTTACACGTCGCCAAAGGTCCTTCATTTTGGCCTCCATACACACCACTTTTGTATCTCACCGTTATCCAAGGATCCCAAAGTATACCAAAGTATACCAAAGTATATCTATCCCTCTGACAGCAAGAGAACTCTGTAGACATAAAGAAAATGTATTCAGATAAGGGTTTTTGGGAGCTAAATCTCACGTCAGATTCATGTTATTTATTAGAGTTAAAATTACTCTCATTTAACTATATATGTTTAGTCTGTTAATATATGGATAGTCGTTAAGATCTTACGGTTGATATATGTACCACCAAGTCTCGATGTAACATTTAGAGTATGAACAAGAGATAATATACGATCTTAATAAAATAATTTCACCGCTATTTATTTCTATTCTATCTCCTCATGGAGAAAGGGTTTACAAAATACCGATTAATTGTAATTTTATAATCGATTACGATTTTCTATCTAAATCAAAAGTGATGAATCGCTAATAACCATCACAATCTGTTTAATGTTAATAATAATTAAATTTATATCAAGTAGTAATACATAAAAACATAATGAATAAGAATTTAACCCGTAAAACCAAAACTTGAAAAGATTGTGACAATAAATGTGTGGTCCTTCTGCTCCTATGATTGGACAAGCTTTGGGCTTACTTAATAACGTCAGTTGGGAGGATTGACTGAACAGTAGCTTCGGTCTGCAATTTAGAAGACTGGCTGTTATATAACTGCCAAACAATTATTTAAGAACACTAGTCCTTTTGTCGTTATATCTGCTGATACGAATTATCTTTTTCTGTTGAAGTCCAAATTACGGGCTGGTTATCAGAGAGGGTACGAAAGCCTTCGGAAAGAATAGAGGTCTGGTGGACGAAAAGGACGTCGCCTCCGCAGCGGTGGTCTCAGCCATTGCCTCGGAGAATATTCCAGAAAATGGCTAAAGTAAAGAAGTTCCTCCCCGGGCGCCTTATTTTTCGTTGTGGTGGTCTTATGGGTGCGCCAATGGCAATAATATTGAGGACGGGCTTTTTTCATATGTGCTGCGAGATAAAGATCGGAGGGTGGAGAAGAGGGTTTGGATTGGATCTGACGGTTTGAAAATTTTGGTGGCTTATCCGTTTGACTGGCGTCGCTTAAAAATGAATGGATTAGCCCATGCCCCTTTTCATTTTGTGGAAAATGGAGAAGAAAACTATAAGCTTATAGAATATTATATGGAATTGGATATATTTAATCATCAAATGATATTTCTATTATTATTAGATCTAATGATATTTTTAAAAATGTATTTCAATTCTTAAATTTTTGTATTTTTTGTTATTTTTCATCAAATGAAACTAATTGATAAATTTTCTAATTATTTTTATAGTGATAATGTGTTGATGAAACCGTAGGTGTGGATATCGTGGCAATTAGGATTGGAAGCTGTATAAACTTGCGGGAAAGGATTAGGAAAAGAATCGTGTAGCCTCTAATCATGGAATTACCTTTCCTCCCTACTCTCCCCTTTGCACTCATTCTTCACCCCCATTTTGCTTTTATATCTGCATCCCCGCTACAAATGACTCACTGTGATCTTAATCTCCTAACCCATGGATCTGTTTTCACCTCTTCTATTCACACTGCTATTGCTTTCATCAGGTAATTCTCCCCTCTTCTTTACATAATACATCGCTTTAGGGGTTTTTTGGGATTTAAATTGTGCTTTTCGGCAGGGATACAACTCTATGAATGTGCAAGAACTTTCACCATGATAAACAACTGCAAGGAAACTATCTGGCCTGGGATTACCCCTGGTGAAAGCTTTAATGGTGGAGGTATTGAATTGAAACCACACCAATCTGTTATCTTCAACGCCCCGGTTGGCTGGAGTGGTCGCATATGGGGTCGAACCGGTTGCAAGTTCGACAGCAATGGAAAGGGTCCATGCCAGACAGGGGACTGTGGCGAAACCCTCAAGTGCGGGGCGCCGGCAAAACCCCGGCATCGCTCGCTGAGTATACGCTCGCTGCCGTTGATTTTTACGATGTCAGTCTCGTCGATGGATTTAATGTGCCCATGTCTGTCACACCGTTAAAAGGTAAGGGAAAT